ATTTAACTTCCATTAAATACATTATAGCAGTGGATGGATATATATAGATGTAGATACAGCTACATATGCATGTACATGTATGTGTACATATTCATGTATGTGTGTGTTCTATATCTTTGTGGGGTATATGCCAGTGAACAAATGAATGAAGGAGTATGGAGGGGAAAGATAATGAAAGTTTAAAATGCATGAAAAAACAAATCTGTTTAAAACAGAGGATTAGTGGTAAACAGTAGAAATGGAATAGTTTATTACAGAGATGTTTTTGTTTATTTTCTAGCCTCCAGCCTTTTTCTTAACTTACTTAAATGAGGTTTAGAGAAGTTTAAGAATTTTGGCAAGTGCCTGCCTAAAATAATATTCAGAATTCTTTTTAGAAAAATCACAGCAGATTGATTTTTTTCCTTAGGGTGCTTGAAATATTCTGTGGATCTGTTTTTGTGTTAGATCATGAGAATATATTTCTGCATCTGTCATTCAATTTATATTTTTTATTCCTCCTTGTTCAGGATGTAAACTAGTTACAAACTTCTCAATCCATTTTGCAAATACCTTTTGTACAATTCTTTTTTTTTAAATCTTTGTTTATGTAGCATGCACTAAAATATACATTATTTTTACTGAGAACATTTTTTCAGTTTAGTTTTCCTAGACATCTGTAGGCCTCAATATATGAAAATAATATAATGTTTTTCCTTCCCTATATGTTAAAACATTCAAGAATGCCTTTCTAGGGATTCTTTGAAAAAAATCAGTTAATTAAAAAGTATATATAATCCTCAACTTACAGATACAATTGGAATTTCATTCTACATGGTCATAATTCTGAATTCACTCTCCTGAATAGATGTTTTTTTGTTGGAAAGTGGCAAAAAAAGCCAGAAACTGAAAAAAAGATAATAAATTAGTCATATGACTGTGGGATGCTGCAACTGGTCATAAATTCAAGCCGGTTGCCAAGCCACTGAAATTAAGTTACATAACTGTAGGGAATGGGTGGTAGCATGACATTTTATGATGGCTGAAAGTATTTTAGAAGTTATAAAGCACCCTTTTCGAGGTTGTTAGAACTTCAAGCAGTTGTTAAATGACTGGACATAAGTTGAGGACTACCTGTATATAGCCTAGTGCTAAGAATTCTAGCAAGCATATCAAATACCTGTTCTCCTTCCTTAACATTAATAATTATCAGCAAATTAACCTGTTCCTCTTCATTTTTCTCTTTCTCTAATCTTGGTAAAGAGAACCTTTCAGTCTATCCCAGCACAATTTTGCCTTTAAATTATTTATTATCCTTGCTGCTCTTTGAATCATTTTGTTGCAAAATGAGCATGGCGCTCCAAATAAGGCCTATTTTTATGCTCAAATTTTGAATGGAAACTTCTGTTAATCCAATTTTAAATAGTATTGAACTTTTATGCCACTTAATCATGTTGCTGATTTACTTTAAGACTTAAATTATCCTTGCCAATATTATTCCCTGGTTCTTATTGTTATACATGTGTTGTTTGTGTGACACATGATATGTTTGTCCTTCTAGCTGCTGAATTTATTTAGATGATTTTGAATGTTTATTCTACCATCTGTCAGATCCAGTCTGTCCACTGTTCTTGTAAAACTGAAGTTTGTAAGACTGAAGAGACTGCAATTTGTTTGGGTGAAAATTGAAATACAACAAAATAAGTATCAAAAATTTTGAAACAGATCATGCACTAATATTTCAACATATTGCACTTAAATGTACCTTTTACCAAAAATATTGTAGTCCACAAAAATGTCATATGTGTGTCCATAGTTGTTGACATCAATCATTTATGGTATATTTGTAAGATTTGGCAGGAGGGATTTCTTTTTTGTCACGGGCAATTAATTGTGGGTAATTTTCCAAAATGAATGTATTTGCATAGTGTAATGACATAGGAATGATGTGACAGATTTGAATTGGTATTAGGCAGTGTGTGTTCTATCATTTACACTACTCTTCGCTTTCTGTTACTTTCTGTGCCCTAAAGGATGGGGCATAACAATGGTAACACAAAGAAATTACAAGGAATAGGGTTTATTTTTGCCACTTTTGTTCCCTTTAGTAAATCAAGATTATATTTTTCTGAAATGTTTTGCATTTTAAATCAACTGAACAGTTATGCTCTGTAGAGTTCAATACACAGACCTATCCAAGTAGTTCTTTTATTCTCTCTTTTCTTCTTCATATATTGTGCAATCCATTCTCCCAGTCCTAATGATAATTTATTAAGCATTGGCTTTTAAACCCTCAGTACTTCTTTCCTAGCTACCTTTTAATATTCAGTAGACAACAGTATTAATAATGACTTAATTATTTTTTTCACTTTTCAATAAAAGACTTGAACACTTTTCCCTCTAAGTATGTTTCCATGACTAAGTTGTAAATATACATACTAGAAACAAATCTGGTAGCAAGCTAGCTTTGTAGGTAGATAAAAGCATATAAAAATAAGTACAGGTTACATAGTTTCTTCAGCTAATGAGCTATCTCACTGCTGAGAACTTCAGATAGCTTCTGGTTGCTGACTGAGAAAAGCATTAACATAATTGAGGGGGCAAGGCGGATATATTGTCTAGTAATAGCACTTAGAATTATATACTGCTCTATTGTGCTTTACAGCACTGTCTAAGCGGTTTACAACATTTGCATATTGCCCCCAACAATCTGGTTCCTCATTTTACCAATCTTGTAAGCATGGTATACTGAGTCAATCTTGAGCTGGTCAGGATCGAACTCCTGGCTTTTGGCAGAGTTAGCCTGCAATATTGTATTCTAACCATTGCGCCACTACGGCTCCTGCGAATGACTGAATGAATGCATGAATTAGAGTTACAACTTTTCTAATTTGTTGCAGTTTGGCTTGTAACGAGCCTGTAATAGTGTTGTGCAGGGATTAAAAGCAACAAGTTGATTAACAATCTTTTTCTCATCAGAATATAGATGAGTCTGCCATGCCCCTCGCATACATATATTTATTCAATACATTTATATGGCTGCCTATCTCAAATATGACTCTGGACAGTTACAAACATATTAAAACAGTAAGAAACAATATTAGCAGAATTATTTAAAAAAATGGTGACCAAGGATGAACTCAGTAAGACAACAGACAGAAACCTCTCAATGGGTCATCTAACCTCCCATCCCCCAAGTAATTTCCTTTAGTCACTTTTCAAAGGAAGGATAGCCGCGTCTCTTCACCCCTTCCTGATCTCCCCTGACTCCAAAATTCTTGAGTTTGTCCTGTAGGTAAGTCTCACAAGGACTCTTTTTCCTATTTATTCTTAAGGCTAATTTCAAAACCAATTTTTCACCATGTAGATATTTGTAAATAGTCACTGTTTGAAGACTGTTGCTTTCACTTTCCTGCTTTGGTAAAAAAGGAAGTGTCCATGAAATTCTATTCTCCCAACTAGGCACCTCAACAGCTTAGCAGATCAGCTAAAAAATAGTGGACAGTATCTCTCTTATAAATGTCACCTTCTCAGGATGAGGAAGGAAACAATTTGCCATAGTCATATGAAAATTCCTATTGACTTTCTTTCTTTCTAGTTCTAAGATTTTCTACTTCTTATAATTTTGTGAAGAGGAGACGTGGCCAAAAGTTAAAATCTTTAACCATTAGTCCTAGATTTGATTATATACATAAAAACTTTGTTTTTCAGCAGTCTATAATTGGTGCCACCAAATGAAACAAACAAAAAAAAAACATTTGGAATCTTGCATAAAGAATGAAAGTGACTCATGCCAGAGCATGTCATATATGCCCATTACTTTAACATGTCGTTATTGGAAATTGCGGTAAATACTTTTTTTACACCTACTGACCCTCCCCCCAAATTTTAGGGGTTGACATTGTTAGAGTTTGTGTATGTGTGTGAATGTATGAACATTTTTGAAAGTGATACCTGAAACCGAACAGTGACAGGTGGACAAGATTTTATAATTATAACAATAAGAAAACAAACTAAAGAAATATTGAGAGGCATAGGCAAAACCTAGCATCTACCCAACTACAAACTCAGAGAGTAAGTGGTCGATGCATGCATCATTGTGAATAAAGGCAGAAGGAAGTAACATAAGATTAAAAAATGTTATTGATAAAGAGGAAGCAGAATGACAGAAAAAAACAAACACATTAATAGACTTTCTAGCTATACCCTAGTGTCTCTTATGGTCAGTAGGTGACATCGTGAAGAAACAATGACTGACACCTCCAATAACATAATACCCAAATGGCTCCAAATAGCCATTTCCCAATTTTAATCCTTATAGGTCAATAACTGATATTGAATTGTAAATATATATTGGCCAGGGGTGCAAAGTACTGTCCTATGCATGTCATAAGACATGTAACTCCCTGTGGCAGACCTAGTGAGAAGAAACTTTGTAAGCTGAGGACAAGCCCTTAGTCTACAACTTTTTTACAACCTAAGAAACTGAATTACTTATAAATTTACTTTTATAAATTCCATCTATATAAAACACTCATTATAGTTCACATTAAGTCATTATAAGACAGCAACATTTTTCATATACAGAATAAATAAGATTGTGAACTAGAATATTAGCAAGTGTAAATTATTTTTTTTTAAAAAATACATCATAACGTATAATTTTATTGCGAACTTTAGATGACATTTTTCATATAGCACTTCACAACTTTTGTTGGTAGTGGGATTGCATTGTACATAGGTTATAATTTATAAAGTGTACTATATATTATAGTGTATGATATAAACTATACTAGATTATCCAATCCCATTTATAGCATTTAATTCAATAATTAATTTGTTTCATTTATATAACAATGATACACTTCAGTTGTGAAAAAGTTAAGTAAAACAAGCTTCCTTCCTAAGATGTTTACTCTTTGATTCTTGTTTTTCTTTTCTGATCCTGTCATATTTGCCCCCTTATTTTCTAAAATAGAACAGGTGTAATATTTTGGTTTATATTGAATTGTGTCTTCTAGGAGAAGGAAAAATTGTATGTGGAACTGAAACACATTTTAGCTCGTCAGCCTGGGCCCGAAGCAGCAGAACAATTACAGCTGTATCGGCACACTCTACGGGAGAAGACAAAACAGCTTAAAGTAAGAGACTAAACTCATTGCAAATAAGACATAGGTGAATTTTCCTAGTCTTCTTGGGAATAAATAACGAAGCATAGATTTTTGTAATTTACAAAAACACTTAGAGATTGGGCTGAACATCTTAATTCATAGTGTATGCCACAAGAATGTTGATATTTTTCTATCTTTTTTGTTATAGCACAATATAAGAAATACCATGATAGTGTTCTGATCTTAGTAAAGATGTTTTGAGTTCAAATGAGAAGTTTCAAGTTCAAAAACAGAGTAATTTCAGTTCGGAACACTTTTGTTAATCAGACCTCCTGCCCAAAAGAGAGGCCCTTCCAGGGTGTTGCAGAGCTTGGAGAAAGATGCATAAAATGTGACCTTTGATTTCAATATAAATAGAAGTTACTTTTATTGTACAGCAATGTTTGTAATTGCTTCTTAGTTTTCTTACATCAACCCTTATTAAATTTTCTTGACTTCTTGAATACCTGGTTAAGGGGTTTCAGCCCAGGAGAAACCTAATACTAAATATAAAAGATTCTGTCAACAATCAAGATGGTGAGGTGGTTACCCTTTTGTCTTGTCGGTAGGATTTTAGGAAATGTGCAGATGTAAATAATAAATATTTCTAGATTCATTTTTGCTCTGATCCAAATTTTTCTTGCAGGCTTTATTTCTTTAGTCTAACAAAAATCTATAAAACTAGGGAAATCATTTCTGGATAATATTAATGAATCACATTAAGGACAATTTTAAATAAACATTGATGAAGTTTTACTTTGGTTTGTTAGAGTTTTTATCCTAACTGTCATACGGGAGCAAAAGACAGGATTAACTCAATTAACTAAAAGCTTGTGTGAAAATTTCCTAATTGTGTCAAGAGTAGCATTTTGTGAAACGTTTATCACATTAAGATTTGAAAAATAATTTAATAAACCATTGCTATACTGTAAATGTGGATCCTTCTATGGAGACATTACTAGAATGTTACATGAGCTTCAATTCCTTTTCAAATAAACATAATTTTCTGATAAACCAGTCAAACTATTTCCCTTCTGTTCATAAGTAGTTTGCAGAAACTGTGTAAGGGACAAAACTGATTAGAGGTCCCATCCAAACTCTACTTTCTATGATTTTGTGTAAAACAAGAAAAGCCAGATTAAAACATTGCAAAAAAGCAGAGATTGACAATGAATAGTAGTGAGTTTATTAAGAAATTATCTCATATCTTAAGGCTTTTCTAAACAGGATGGCCAAAGTTAGGAGTGAGATGAGTATCTCTAGGGGAGTATTGTAATTTCATAGACTGGGGTAAGTATAGAAAGAACTCTCATTGTCTCTTTTGTAGGCAGCATTCCCTGCATAAAGTCATGCTAAAAGATTTAATTGTGACCTCTCAGTGCAATCAAGATTCTCCTTGTTCCAAGGATGGATTTATGTCACTTTTTAAAAAAACTTAAAATAGCATAAAGGCAAATCACTGATTTGGTACACTATGATAGGCTTTGTTTTGGCTTTTTAAGGTTTTATCTTCTGAGCTGAATATGTATGAATCACAGAGTCAAGAATACAAATATGAAATTGAAAGACTTGCAAATGAACTTCTGAATATAAAGAAGAAATACCTCACTCAAAAACGCAAGGAGCAGGAAAACAAGTAAGAAGTATTAATAATTGTAATCAAGACAATTGCAAGAATAGTATTTAATGAAAAATGACTAGCTGAACTCCAATAGTTAACAGCACTTTTCAAGTTACTTATTACACGTAAGTTACACATATTCCCAGGATTAGATAATTGAGATTGGTCACAATTGGCATTTTCTGTTACTTTAAATGAAATGCCCCATCTCTCTCAATTTCTAATCCATTTATTTGTTTTATCATGCTCCAAATTATAATACCAACATATATCTATATTGATCAGAATGTACTTATATTTGGTCTTCTTAATTTGTTATGCATCTACAGAATTCACTTATGACAATACTAAGAAACTTTTTAGTCTTTTGTATAGATTTGTAAATGCTGATTTTTCACCAAGTGAAGGTATTACAAAATATTCTTCCAAAATGTTCTCTGCTGAGAATATTTGTTTTCTACGTTACCAATTTAATGGAAACTAATAGTATAGGAGAAATATTACAATGTGGATATGATTGAAACCGTACTACTGAACTTTGCTGAATGCAGCTAATGCACTTTGCAACTGTTGTGATAAACAAAACAGGTGGTTTTAGAATGTGTGAATCAGCTCTGATTTGCTTCTTCGTATAAATTAAAGAGGTGCAAAGAATGTTGGCTGGCAGGCAATCAGAGATTTGCCTTCTCTACCGTTGCTGAGAATTAATTTTATTGTATAATTTCATGGGTTTATAGTATTTTTTCAAATATTTTAATTGCACCAGTTTTCAGATAGATATAGCAAGATAAAGTAATAGCAATGTCTCCATTGTATAGCACTAATGCAACAACTGCTCTATACAATTTAATTGACCACCTATAAAGATTTGACTTGGACATGCATGTGTGTATATTACAAATGAGTAGTCCCTAAGTTTATTTAAAGTTTATTTAAAATCATGATAAACATTTTGGCTCTTAGGACATGATCTAAGTATTATTGGAACATTACGAACTGCAGAAAGCAATATAGTTATTTTTTAACTTAGCTGTCTGTGTGTTGAATTCGGTTTTAGTCATACTTCTTTTATATTAAGGTCATAATTTTTCATTGGTTTAATGAATTTCATGGAACGTTCTGTAGCATTTGTGCAGTCATGCATCTCTGTGCACAAAAATTGGTTCCTTACATTGCTCTACTTGGTCCTCATTAAATGGCTGAATAAACATTCAAATTGTTTTTTTCTCTTTAGCCTGGTAAATTAAAGCAGTGTTTATTCATCCTATGGTACAAATTCTGAAGAACATAACATTTTAGAGTTATATAGATAGTCTTGGTTTTGTCTAAAAGAACACATGTAATTATTATAAAATGTGTATATACAAACTACACACATACACACACACACAGAGAGCTATATCACATTTTGCCTTTGATGATCATTTGAAAAAAATACTTATTTTGAAGAGTGGTATTAAGATTAGAATTTCTGAATTACAACATTTATAATTATTCAGCTTCTAATGAGAAACTATTTCAAGGGGTTAACAGTAGGAGAGCGATTCATTTCCAATTTTTAATACATTTCAATCAGCAGTTACTTAATTAGATTCAAACAGATGTCTAATTGTGGATGCTTAAAATGTTGATGTATTTCATCAACATATTTTAAATGATCTTCTGATAGAATATTTGCCATTATGAATATACATCTTATTTCTTTGTTTCCTTTCTCTTTTATTTTTCTTCATCTTCAAGGGAAAAGGAGAAAGCCTTGAGTAACATAGAACATGACTTCGCAGGACAAAGAGCCAGAGTTCCACGCTTCACTGGAGGTGGTTTCCCGCTTAGCAACCCACCTCCCAAAATTGTGGCATAACTATAGCATCATGACATAATGTCACACGTTGTGGCATCCCCTACAGTATTGCTTTTCATGGATAATATTATTGGTTTCCAAAGATCTCTGTGTTCTTTTCACAAAACTCTGGCACAGGCAAGTTCATAAGAATTCTACATCTTACTATATTGATATCAGTAGAGTATGCTTTTTTAAAAAAACAAATAAATAAGAGCAACATAATCTTATATTGCATTTTTAAAAATGCTTGATTTGGAAGTTAGTTCTCTTGAAGTCAATGGATTGCAAAAAATACACTGAGGATTGGATGTAATATATGCAGTTGTTTTAAAATTACACTGTTTCCGACTACCTTGTCTTGAATTTATATCCTAAAAATCCCAGGAAATATATTTACACGATTAATATTTTAAGAAAATATAAAAAATAAATTTTATAAACTTCATACAACAGCATTAAGTTATAGCAATGTAGTCATGTGTAATATGCAATAACAAAATTTATTAGGGAGATGGGAATGTGAGGAAGCTTGAAGAAACATTTAAAAATTGTTTAGGTATGAAACTATGTATGATTTTCAATACCTAAACTTCTTTATTCATGAGATTTTATCATTCAGTAGCAAGTCATATGATGGAATCACTGTATGAGGTGCTGAAATATGTGTTAAAATAAACTGCTTTGAATGTGGCTTTGTGGTGAAATGTTTCTTCTTGCCTTAGGGGTGGAAATTAGATCCAAAGAGAAATTATGATAAATACTTATTTTTTCTTTTAGAAAACCATTCTTTTGAAAAGGTCATTGCTTTGGAAGAATACAGAATTAAATGTTAAAACTATTGTAGAGAATATTAATGTGCTTTATTCATAGAAACAAATTAATTTAATGTTAGGCATTAGATTACTTAGGAATAATTCTAAAAAAATAATTATTAACCCTCTCAAATTATGTATCTTACTTCTTGAAGAGTATTAGATAGCCTTGGGTGTCTAAGGCTTTTGATAAATACAATTATAACAATCTACTCAGTATATTTACTACAGTATAAACAAAAGACAAATCATGTAATTCTTGCATCCTGTTTCTAGGGATTAACAATTTAAGAAGAAAATATTCTCAATGTATAATTTATAACCTTTAGATTTGGTCCCATTAATCTGAATTGAAATCATTGGAATTCAGCTTTTACTTTTGAAATGTCTAAATTGTATGCCTTTGGAATGAAATTGCCCAATATTACATCCAAAATTTCGCTTTCAGGTATTTCTTGGAAGAAGGTAAATTAATATCTTTCCTTATGATCTTGGTGTGGATTACTAGTGGGGGACAAGGTAATAAAGGAGGTACACTATTCATCAACAATTTGATGAGTTTGGTCAAGAATGAAAAACTGTAAAACTGAAATAAAGTGCTAAAATGAGTAGACCTTCATGTTGTCTAAATAGTTGTACAACAATAATAATCATATAAATGAAATATCTCAAAATATAGTGTATGTTGACATGTCCATCCTTCCTTTTTGCCTTGATGATTAAATGGTAGTGCATTTTAGTTAATTTTCATCTCGTTATACTCTGCTGACAAATAAATCTACCATGAGAACTTTCATTTTTAAGTCATCATCTTATAAACCCAGAACTATGTTATTTTCTTCATGTTTTACTGTATGTGACTTATTTTGATGATATTTTATCAGTAAATTGTAAAATGTGCTCTAATTTGGAAGAATATGCTAAGATTTATGATTACATGATGAAAAAACCTGAACATTGGGCACTAACTAACAAAATGAAATTCAGTGATGAAAAAAGTAAGGTTCTACATTTAGGCAAGAAAAGGTATAGGTATAGGTATAGTATAGGATAGGTGGTACCTTGCTCAATAGCCGTAACTGTGAGAGGGATCTCAAAGTCCTAGTGGACAATCACTTAAATATGAGCCAGCAGTGTGCTGCAGCTGCCAAAAAAGCCAACACAGTGATAAAATCAAGATCATGTGAAGTGTTAATACCACTTTACAATGCCTTGGTAAAGCCATACTTGGTAAAGCCATACTTGGAATACTGCATCCAGTTTTGGTCACCACGATATAAAAAAGATGTTGAGACTCTAGAAAGAGTACAGAGAAGAGCAACAAAGATGATTAGAGGACTGGAAGCTAAAACATATAAGGAACAGTTGCTGGAGTTGGGTAAGTCTAGTTTAATGAAGAGAAGAACTAGGGGTGATATGATAGCAGTGTTCCAATATCTCAGGAGTTGCCTCAAAGAAGAGGGAGTCAAGCTATTTTCCAAAGCACCTGAAGGCAGGACAAGAAGCAACGGATGGAAACTAACCAAAGAGATAAGCAACCTAGAACTAAGGAGAAACTTCCTGACAGTTAGAACAATTAACCAGTGGAACAACCTGCCTCCAGAAGCGGTGAATGCTCCAACACTGGAAGTTTTTAAGAAGAGACTGGACAGCCATTTGTCTGAAATGGTATAGGGTTTCCTGCCTGAGCAGGGGGTTGAACTAGATGACCTCCAAGGTCCCTTCCAACTATTATTATTATTATTATTATTATTGTTGTTGTTGTTGTTGTTGTTGTTGGTTTTGTTTTGTTGATAGTATTAATGTAAACTCTAATAATGATTAATAATAATACAGTAATATGTTCTTAAAGTTCACAAAATTCTTTACTGCTTGCTGCAATATACCAACAGAAAACATGGCATTTATCTCTCAACTTACCTTATATAAATTTTATTCTTTTACGTTTTGACATTTAGGAAAGAAGGTGGGCTATTTAGATAGAAATGGTACTTGGCTCTATTATCTAGTTATGGGAAGGATATTAAAACCTTCATATTTAATCTTACCACATAAGGAAACACACTTTTAAAATGCTATTTGCTTAGCATTTTGACTTGGATATTACAGTTTTATTGTCACCTAATCCATTTGAAAGCAGTTTTTAAATATTTTTCTTGTTGAATGTGTTATTTCACTAATGTGGTCAATTAAAATCTGTAGGCAGATTTAAATTACAGCATGCAAATTATCACCTAATTTCCTTTCGAAAGTAGATTTCAAACCATTCTGGAAGATTTCAAGTAGTATGTTTGTTACAACAGTTTCCTTAGATGGCAATTTGATATTTATCTAATTGCATCACTTTGTCCCTGCCATGTTTGCTTTGAAGTTGATTTAACTTTAAATGAGGTAAAATCAAGATAGTGATATATATGCACTGGTCATCACTTGAAGAATTTTGTTCACTTGTTTTTCCTTCAGCAGCTGAGGTTTAATTTGTGGGATACCATTTAGAATTTGATTAATAGATCTGTAAAATGAAATGTTAGACTTGAGTTTTTTTCCTTTTAGAAATGTCCCACAAACTCTTAACAGTGAGTCTCTTATGAGTCCATTTCATTTAAATTAATCTTTTAGATTAATTAATGGCTTTTAGAAATACTAATTTTAAAGAAGACAGAAATCACAAGGTTGAAATGCCTGCCATGGAATTACTGCCAAGTAGCCTGAAAATTGTGGAACAATAATCTGATTAGAAGATATTGATGTCTGAAGCTCAAACTGTAGCAAGAGAGTTGAAAAAAAAAGTGTTGTTTTTAGATTGACATGTTTTTGTTTAAAAATAAGGTAGGTTTTAAACAGCCAACACTGGATTAATTCATATGACCTATGTTTCTGCATATAATCCTATTAGTGGTGGAATCCATTACAAAAATCTTAGTCCCTTTCCTCTTAGGTTTTACCCCAAACTACTTTTTTTAAAAAAACAAGTTTTATTGGTTTTTTTTTCATTTTACAAACAAGTGCTTAAGAATCAACGTGGTGGCAGGGCAATCAATTGTCCACAAACAAAGTCATATTCATAAAGTTCAGATTAAATCATTAAAAACCCCCTCTCTTTTCCCTCTAGTAGCATATTATATTCAAATTAATATATTTCAATACAACTAAGTCAGTCATAACAATCCTCAATAACCTTTCATCAAAATAGATCCACAAATCCAAATCCTGTGTTGAGCTTAACTATTTCAAATGCTATATTCCATATTTCTAATTCAAATGCATAATTAACACTTCGGGTGTCTCCCCATTGCCTTTTTCCTTAACAAATTCAATAAACATTTATTAGTATCATTTCTTCTTTTATCTTATTCTTCTTCCATTACAAAGTAGCTATCATTTCTAATAAAAAAGAATATTAGTTCAAAACAGAAAAGAAAAAAAAACAAGAAACAAAGACAAAACCAAGAAAAAAGAAAAATACCTTTCTATTTCTATTATACTTTATACTCTATCAATCAATCCCTCAATATCTATATCAAATTCCTTTAACCTCCTCCCAAAATTACTATATCCAAAACATATTAATACATAAACAAACCTCTTATTATTAAATTCAAACCTTTAATTAATTTTTATTCAATCTAACATCTTATTTAACTGTCTTAAGCCATAGATCAGTCGATATCTAATAAGCCTTTTAAACCCGTTACATAAAGCCTTAAGTCACACTCTTAATCTCATTCTGGCTTTCCTTTTTTGCCAAACAGGTTTCCATAACAATGCCTCAATATCAATGAACAAGTCACTTTTTATGCCTTGTGGTATCCTTTGTATCAAACAGAAACATCCCCTTTTCTGTTTTAGAGACCTAGCTCTTTTGTAAGTAATCCCTTGTTGTTTTAAAGAGTCAAGTCTCCACGTTTGAAACTGTTGAATAGCAGGCTCAGTTATGTCCAACTTTGTAGATAATAGTTGCTTATCCAAGCTACCATAATTCTCAATTCGTTGAGCTTGTCTGTCCATTTCTGTTGGTTTTAAAGTTGTAGGTGGTTTAGTTACAGTCCTTTTTGGTTCCTCGGAGATCTCATCAGCATGCATATGAAGTAAAGTGGAATCTTCTTTACCCTTGGTTAATCCCGCTTCTGTTATTTTTTGGTCTATAGAATACTCAGATAAAGTCTTGGGATCAATTTGTAAGTTCAAAGCAGGATTTCTGTTTTTTATTTCCATAGTATATTCTTTTATTTGCAAACATATTTCGTCAGTAGCTTCGTAAAGTTTTTCCAGTATGAGCTTATAGTCCAGTTGAATGTAGGGTTGCTCCATTTCAAAAATAATTAGGGACAGTCTGTATCATTTAGTAGAGGCTGTGTTCAAGGAACATTTAATCAGTATCCACCCCCACCAGTACAGCTGTTAATTTTCTTTGTATTTTTCCTTTTATGATACTCTGAAGGTCAAAGTCAGTCTCACCATCAGAAAAAAGAGACAGTTGCAATTTTAACTTTTTCCAGAAGGTGTCCTCAGTACAATGTAAAATCTTCTCCCAGAGACCAGGAATCTCATAAACAAGATCAGGAAACACAGAAAAAAAGGAGAATTCAAGTCTAATAGCAGATTCAATATTAAAAAAAATTTCCAAGACCCCAAAGTGAATAATAAAAAGAAAAAAAAAAGAAAAAAAATCACTTTAAATTAATTCAGTCCATTTAAGCTTCTTTTTCCCACACTCACAAACGCCGGTTTCTTAAAGCAGGGAAATAATTTCAAAGGTGCTTTTTACAGGCACAAAAGAAAAAGGAAAACCAAGAGAGGGAGAAAAAAAAGTCTCATCCGGCTCAGCCACGGTGGTTCCTGTGCTTAAGATGTTCTTCTGACTTCTGGTT